CTGGCTTTCTTGGCACCCATCTTCCATCCCCTGAATGGGCCCAGATGAGCTCACTGGCCCCCAGGACGGCCTGGGTGCTCACCATCAGCCCCGCCCCCCTCCCCACCCACACAGGCTGCTCCCACCTGCTTCCCTTAATAGCTCCCTAATGCTCGCTCCTTTCCTTTCTCACTTTATCACCCAAGAAGTCACAGAAATGAATAAGGGGACACAAAAGAAATAAGTTCAGTACACTTAAAAAAATTATAGAATATAGGAATTCTCTATCACATTCAATGCATTCATCTGTCAAATATTCACTGAGTCTCAATTTTGTGCCAGGTATTAAGTTGGGTGCTAGGGGGTAAAAGTGAAAACTAGAGTGTCTACTGGGAAAAATGAACAAATAAACAATCTGTTTGATAAGTGTTCTGCTAGAGGTATACAGGTTGCTAACAGACCTTAAAGGTCTCTCCTCCCCAAAGGGGACGGGGAATGGAGAAGGCATTTCAGTGAAATAGGTGCCTCTGCGCATGGGCCGAACTATGGAGCATGGGAGAATGGGAACTATTTCCAGGAACACTGAGGAAAACTGGACTTGGTGCCCAAGCCAAAGGAGCTGAAATAACGCACCCTGGGAGGTGGCACGATGGCGCCCGCATCTGTTCCAGAAAAACCTGCCAAGATATGATTAGGAGAATACCCAAGAGAACATCACATGCCCCTGTGTGTAAGAATGCAAGAAGCAATTATTCCTACCAGGTTTTAAGTTCGGCAACAACAGAGCAGACACAAAAGCCAAAAAACGTGCTGAAGCTTTAGTTCGATGATACAGGGATAGTAAGCATAACCGGCTTGTGAAGGAGAGGGGTGGTTTACAAAGGATAAACCTTCGTTGTTTGGAGAAGACAGATCACAGCTTTTTATGAAGTTTAAAAAAAATCATGGAGGAATAAAAAAGGTGTGGGGGAGAATGAAAAAGGGGAATTACCCTGAGGACTGTCCAGTCCAACTGTGAACGCACAAGGCACAAGCCAGGAGGTTTGAACACCCCACTGCTTCCTGATGACCCATGCCACTTTTCGAAACATCCACCAACACAAAACCAGCCTAACTCATTCTCTGCCCACTAGTTGGCCTTAACCCCCAAATACTGGGAGTCAATGATTCAGTCATTTATTTTCTATTTTGCTCTTCTGTTAAAATGATTCTGGCCGAGTGCCCCTCTTCGGGGGGACTTCTGCTGAGGACTTAATGTTGCCTCCTGAAGGTCTGGGTTATTAACAGTTGCTGACCTACGGGAAGGATGAAACATGGTTCCTTGGTTTAATTCTATTAGTTCCCTCTTGAATGGATTCTTTTTTTTTTTTCCTTCCCCCTATGGAGAGATACTTCTTTTTTTGTCACCCAAGATGAGTAATTTTGGCACTTTTAATTCCCTCCCCCTGAGTCTTACAATAATGCTAAAATCAACTCTCGGTAACTCTGGTGCCCTTTGCAGGAACAGAACTAATGTAACCATTCAAACGGAACCACGAACTCACTGGGGCTCACTGACGTTCACAGTTGAACAGGACTCTGAAATGCTTCCTATGCAGTGTTACAGAGTATAAGAACAGGAGGCGCCAGAGCAAGTCTAGGATGCGTGATGCCAGGAAGAAAATGAGGGGACCCAGGTTACTGTCTCAATAATGTGACAATACGCTAAACTCTGTCAGTCAACATCTGCGCTCCTATTATGTACCTGGCACTGTTTTTAAGGGTTGCGGAATACCTTCACAAGCGACTTGGCCTCCTGCTGACTTGGTTTCCCCATTTTTAGAACTAGAATAATGATTTTCTTCAAGTAAGGGTGTTATATACATTGAGATGGTGATTGTTATTTTAAGTACCATTTTAGTCATTTAATTATTTAGAATAGTGTGGAGGGCAGCGGAGGGAAGGGGGCAAGGAGAATGGTGTTGCATCATGAAGGGAACTTTCTAGAAGAAAATCATCTCTGGGCTCTATTTTCCTATGTTATAAATAAAGTTAATATTTTCCAAACTCTACCCGGGGCAGAAAAACAATGAGCATAAAAGCTTACAAACTGGGTAAATGCATATTTATTCACAGTGACACTACATCATCTATGGTTTTAAGTTCTTTTTAAAATTTCCTTCTATCTGTTGTCCAAGCTGATGTCATCTGTTTTATAGATCATGGGATCTCATAAGGCAAGGACTAGACTACTTAACTATTTTTAAATGTCTGCACGATGTCATACAGAGGCTGATATATATCACAAATACTATTCAGTCATAATTAGAAGGATCTCTTTTTTCTTACAACAGGAACCTTTTTTTTTTTCAACCCAGACATCTCAAAGTATTTAACAAAAAGTCCCACATGTTCTCCAAGCGCCTTCAGGGGCAGATAGGCGATGCAAGGCAATACAGCAAGAGGCAGCAGCACAGGCCTTGGAAATAACCTGCCTGGGTTTCAGGGCTCGGCCTGCTCACATAGCAGCTGTGCGACTCTGGCTACATCACTTAACATCTCCAACCTTTAGTTACTTCACCTGGGAAAACTGGGAAAATAATACCTATCCCCAAGGTTTCGTGGAAATGAGCTAATGGACGCAGAAGTACCTGGCACCGTGCCTGAGTCATAAAAGGCATTAAATAAATGTTAGTTTTCTCTTCGCCAAATCTTCACCCCACCCCCTCATCCCCAATCTCTCTCTCTCTCTCTCTCTCTCTCTCTCTCTCTCTCTCTCACACACACACACACACACACAGTGAGTAAATCAAGGCCTTGCTTTAAACTACAAGCAGAGGGTAAGACTGAGCCAGGGCCGCCCTGCCAGAGCCCTGGCAGCCTCTCAGCTGCGGAATCCCTGGTTATTTCCTTTCTCAAGGAGGGGACGCTATTCTGGTCTGACAGATCCTTTCCTGGACACACTCTCAGAATTCCCTAAGGTTCTTATCGTGGCTGATGGATAACAATGCAGAGACTAGGGGAGTGAATAATCACTCTCCCCTAGCTAAAAACTTCCTTTATTGACTTCTCAAACTTCCCGTAAGTATTTTGCTGCCAAATCAACCTCTTGTCCTAGGCGACTATTAAAAGTAACTCTCTTGAAACTGAAAAACACATTTAGCCTCCAACAATAAATCACATGGACTTCAATGACTAGCCACTTAGACTAGTAGACGATTAGGACATTCAACCATGAGGATATTTGTAAAATTAACGTGTGTACATTTCTAGTTCCTTCCTTAGCCCTTAAAATGAGAACAGGAGTGAAGAAAGATACCTTTTCAGTTATTCTTTCTACAAGATAATGTTGATGATAGCAACAGTATGTCAATAAAATTTTATTTAGTATCTAGAATGATAGCCATTCTCTGTTCATTGAAAGAGAAACTGAAAGCAATATAATAGCTGCTCCTTGGGGCTCACAGTTAAATAGTATAAAATTTGCTATTATGTGGCAGTGTCTTGTATCACTGTATCCCAAGCCCATACATAGCAGTGCCTAGAACATAGCTGGCAGTCAATACATTTTTACTGAATGAAATGAATAAATTACTATTTGGTTTTATACCCAGGACCAACATATAACCTTTAATTCCCCCAAAAGATCAAACACACCATCCCACTACACGTGAACCATGTCCACACCACCAGAGTCTGAGATTTCCATTCCAAAAGAGTGGCTATAACCACTACTTTCTGAGGCGATCCTGCTTACTTTGCACATTATCCCCCCCCCCTCCAGTTTTCCTTCTTTTGTTTTTGTACTAAGGATATTTGTATAAAAACAGAATCTTTGTTGCTTAGTAATTCATCAGCTCCAGCTGCTTGTGTTCTGTTCCCAATCAAAATTCTGGGTCTTTGGCCGCCTCATCATTTCTAAAAGGAGTGGAGTGAATTGGCCGGGCCCGCCCCTTGCCCCATCTCTACGGCACGCTGGGCCCCAAGCTCCCACGCAGTGCTCCCCTTTTGCTTCTGACGTGGGGTTACGGATGATGGTGCCATACGTAATCTATCAGCGCTCATCCCAAAGTGCTCGCTGAGTAACAGAGAGCCACTCCCAGCCCAGCTCCAGAGTTTTCTAGCTTCACATCAGGGCAGGGTTACCCCAAAGTCAGAGAGGGCACTTAAAGAGGGTTTGAGGGTTCAAACGGCCAGAAGCCCAGGGGAAAAATCACAAAAGGGTAGGTGGGTACATTGAGGTAGACAAGAAAATACAGAGGGTGCCCAAAAGATGTATACACATTTTAAGAAAGGAAAGAAAAAACTGTATTAAAACTATGCTGATGGGAACCACTTTGAGGACCTCGTGTAATGGCAGAAGTCAAACGTGACTTGTATTCATCTTTCGTAATCAGTACATATTATTACAATTTTAACACAGTTTTTCCTTCCTTTATTTTTTTTTTTAAAGGAGAGCACAGCTCACTGTAGCCCATGCGGGGATTGAACCAGCAAACCTTGGTGTTATCAGCACCATGCTCTAACCAACTGAGCTAACCGGCCACCTCAGTTTTTTCCTTTCTTAAAACATGTATACATTTTTGGGGGGCACCCTCTGTATTGTTCCATCAGAGGTGACAGCATAGAGGAAAGCAGATCACCAACCAGTACTGTTAGTTCCGTGTAAAGCACTTTATTTTTCCCACATACGTGATTTCCAATGTCTAATTCCCACCGTGTTCCCTTCCATTCCATAGGCTTGTTTATCGGTTTCCCACAGCGGTTTCTCTCACTTCTTACTGCTTCTCCAGAAAGGAAAACAAACAATTTCCTCAGCCCTCATCATCATAAACCCTGGCATGTTCAGTTACCCTCTGCTCGGCGTAGGCACCACATTGGGGCCATAAAACTCCTCCATCGCCAGCAACCGGTCTCCCACCAAATTCTCACTTCCCCTTTACCCTGCTGGGAAGGGTACACCCTATAGGAGCCGCTGAGCCACACCCACCACCTTCCCTCTGTGCAGGGGGTGCCTCTCCCAGCCCTGGGACACTCCTTACCTGGAAGGCAATTGCACTCAAAAGCGAAGTCACCCGTCTGCCGGCAGGTGCCTCCATTGACACAGGGGGAGGGTGCGCAGGGCACGTAGGGGCTGTCGCAGTGCTGGCCCGTAAAGCCCTGGGGGCACTGGCACTGATAGGAGCCTGGTAGGTTGAGGCAGGTGCCACCGTGCTGGCACTGTCCTGGAATGTCACACTCATTGACATCAGTGTCGCACTTCTGTCCGGTGAAGCCTGCGAGGCATTTGCAGGAGAACTGGTTGGCCACGGTGGTACAGGTACTTCCGTTTGCGCAGGGATGCAACAGGCAGGCATCCGTCCATTGGCACCGCTCACCTGAAGGAAGGGTAACAGACCTCAGGGCTGTGCACAGACATGGGAGTCAGCCCTGTCCTCACATCTCCCACCCAGAGAGTTCTTACACGGAGAATCCCTGAGCTCTCTGGATTTTAAGGGGAGCCCCACTCAGAGCCCCCTTAGGACCATGGGATACAGGCACTCTCCCGGGCCCTTGACAGAGACACAGACTCAGTGGAGCACATGGAGGGGTCGTGGCTGGTTACATGAAGCACAGCTCTGCAGGGTTCTACCAGCCCCTGTGGCACAGAAGGGTCTGGAGTCACCTACTGTCTCATACCTCCTTGTCTTTGCACAAGCTGCCCCTCAGTTTGGGTGCCAGCTTCCTTTTTGTGTGAGTTTCCACTTATCTCAACAACTCCACTTATAAGTCACCACTGCTGGAAGTTACCCTTATCTATCTATCTATCTATCTATCTATCTATCTATCTATCTATCTATCTATCTATCATCAACCTCGCTCTCTCTCCCTCTCTCTCTCTTTCCCTCTCTCTCTCTCTCTCTCTCTCAAACACACACACACACACACACACACACACACATTTGCACATGCGTACACATACCCCAAGTTTTCTGTCTCTCTCCTTTTATTATATCACCTGCCACAATGCCAGCGGCTGTACCCCTGTGGTAGGCTCTCAAATCCTGTCTTTTGAATGAATGAAATGTGTTGATGTTTTCCACACTACATAGTTACTAAATGGACCTCTTAGAAGATAGAAACAAGTCAATACTACCTCTCCGTCCTTTAAACATAACACACATGCATACATATTCTGGAAAATATTTTATTATAATTGTGGTCTTGCTATAAAGGTTGCTTGATGTGTTTGAAGAGGATAAGAATCCCTGGCTCCTGGTATATATGGAAACTCGACAGAACTAGGAACTGTCACGAGAATAAAGGTCTAGGAAGGTAACTCTAGCAGATTCTCTCAGGGAGGGAAGCACCGGAAGAGCAGGAGGGCTCTGACATGCTGGATACTAAGGCATAACTCCAGGAAGCAAAGCAGGTTCTCTGAGGTAGGAAGAGAGAGAGAAAAAACAAAACAAAACTCCCACGCTACTAATAAATTTGGCTATTCATGTAACTTTTTGTTGTCATTAGCTTAAGCTTTTTTTTTATACTAAAGATGTGAGACCCCCCTTGAATTTGTTATTACTCCGGTTGGTTGTCAAAATAAACATACAAATCTTTGATCCCCAAAGAGAAGCAAATGAGAGCCATGACAGTTTTTCTAAAAGAAAGAGGTGACATGAGTACACAGAAGTGCTGTCTGCCCATCAAGGAATGTCAAATCACAGGGGAAAAGTACAATAAAAAACTAGGCACAGCACATGTATCTCGGGGTGCTAAGCAGAGGGAAGATTAAGAAAGTGCTATTTTTCTCCTTATTTTTGTCTTCATTCCACTGAGAGGTAGTTACCCACAGGGGAGAAGAGATTTTTTTAAATGGTGACTTCTGGCAACCATGTGTATCATCGGAGTGTTTGCCTATAACTGAAACAGAAAGGTCCTTGAACTTGGCTTCCCACAAATGTTACGTAGTATAGGCACTAACTTCCGGCCACTGTTTCTTCATCTGCGAGGGGAGATTAGCTAATAAGGTCTAAGAGGCTGTCACAAAACCAAAAGGGTGAACCTGACCTGTGGTGGTTCCTGAAGTGACAGACCAAAGTGGCAGATGTGCCACAGTCATCAGAAGCCCGGAGGACACCAAGAAGAAATCCTTTCAATGGCCAAAGAAGGAGTTTCAACTTGTGGAGCATTTCAGAGTAACATTTTAATTATGAAGAAGGCACGAGGGCCATTTCCACTGGTTAGGGCTAAAATGTTTTAAATGAACATGTCCTCCCTTTGCTTTGTGGAACAAAACCGCTCAAAAACAATAATCAGGGAAAAATGATTTGCTTACCCAGCCAATCTCTTCAGTGACTCATACCACCAATGCTGCCACGGACATGATGGAGATAATGGGTCGCCCTCACTATCCCCGGCCCCTACCCACACCTTTTAATAAAAAAAATACATAGAGCAAGTATTCCAAACAAAATGATCCAGTCTAGTTTTCAGAGTACGTTGTTCATTGTTTTGCTTATTAGGTTTCTAGAACTGTTGGTGGAGTGGGGGACAAAATGGTGAATGGTTCTCCTTTCTCATCTCCTTTTCTCATCTAATTTCATAAATACTTGGGGATCACAGGGACTAAATGCCTACAGGAATTACGAAAGGACCACTAAGACAGAGTTCTAAATAACACTGGGCAGTCACCAATTACAGATTAGGACATTTCCGGCACAGGGTGCACAACAGCATGGAGGGAACAGGAAGTATGACATTTTCAGGAAATGATGGGGATGACGGCGTGACCAGAGCTAGATGCTTATGAGGAGGTGAGGCTCTACAATGATGTAAGGTCTAGGCTGTGACGGGCTAGAGAAGCTGTGTGAAAGAGTTTGCATTTACCTGGTGGAGGATGCAAAGTCATTGGCATTGCAAGCAGGTGAGTGTGTGAGAAGATCTGCATTTATAATTGAAGATATGGCAACGTGACAGGTGAACAGCATGGGAGATGGTAAAGGCAAGGAAGCCAGTTAGGAAATGGCTACAGGAGTCCAGGTAAGAGATGCCAGGGACCTCAGCTGCAGGGTAGGAGGGCGGGTAGAGAAAAGTCGACAGGTGAGAGGTAATTCAGAGGGTGGGTTGGGTGACTGTGTCCAAGGCGGTTAAGGATGAGGGGCAGGGAGTTTGGGGTCCTTGGAGGACACAACCTATCTACATCACTTATTGAGTTTGAGGTACCTGTTGAATTTCCAAGGATATGATGCAATAGATAGTTAGAAATATGATAGATATAGAAATATGATAGTTAGAAATAGATAGTTAGAATGTCAGGGTGGGATGGAGCGAAAAGGGTGACGAGGAGTCATCAGCAAGTGATGAAGATCAGGACAGCTGTGCAATTGGAGACAGAGATTCCCTGTGGAGAGCTACGATGCGGCTCCACAGAGGCCTCAAAACAGCGCTCCAAGGAGCGCAGAAATTCAATGGCCGAAGCAAACGGAACGGGGTTCAGGGAGCCCGGAAAGCCAATGACCTGAGTGTCTAGAGAGAGGGGATTTCAAGAAGCAAGTGATCAATACACAGCACGAACAGCTTTTCTTCTGGGAACCTGAAGGGATTCTGATCCCCAATCCTGACATGCAGCCCTTAGGCGGTCAAATACTGCTGAGGATTTGACCCTTTTTCATTCTCTGCCTCCTCTCTTAAAACTCTCAAAAGGAAGCTAAAAATAGTTGTCTGGAACATTCGAGCTTCTTCCCACAGTGGTAAGAAATGTGCACCAGAGCTGCGGGACCCTGAAGAGCCAGACGTCAAGATGGAAAAGATGCTACCTAAAGGCACCTTCTGAGAAGAGCAAAGTATGGGCCCGCACGCCCCGAGTACCTGTGAACCCGACTTGGCAGGCACACTCATAGTTGTCCTGGCTCAGCACGCGGCAAGTGCCTCCATTCAGACAGGAGGGAGCGGCATAGCACGGGTGAGTGGTCGAGTGCTGGCAGTCCTCGCCAGTGAATCCCGGGGCACACTGGCACGTGGCTTTCCCCAACATGGCCTGGGCCACACACGTCCCGCCATTCTTGCAGCGGTTCTTCTCACAGGGGTCTCGATGTTGACAATATTCTCCCAAGAAGCCCTCTGGACATCTGTGTGGAAAAGAGCAGAGTCCATGAAAACACTCGACTTCTCATAAGTCCCAAAGCACACACGATAATGCAGACCATTCAAGAAAACAGCAGCCTGTGACCTGAGGGGCCTGAAGGTACAACCTGTACGAGTAAAGCTGCCTCGCTTTAGGAGAAGTGTTTCGCGGACTTAACCACATCCTGCCATGTCCCTTGGAGTCTAGGCTGGTGCCAGAACACCGGGTGGTGATCTAGCATTGACCACTATGGCCGGTCAGTGTGACTCCTACTCAAAGGCACAGTGCAGCCGCAGCGCTTTTCATGGATGGACAGGCTGCTGTGGTGGACTTTCCGGGCAGCGCCGTGGCTACTTGCCTCTTTAGATTCATTAACTTTCTCATCTTGACTAAGCCGCTCGACAGGATTAAGACATTCACATGATAATGCGTGGCCTGACCCTTTCATCCTCTCCAATTTAGATGATAGAAAATAGCACGTGTCTTCTCTCAATGAAGCATTAAGCAACAGCAAGTGTTTCTTGCCTTGCTTCCATTGAGACACGGTTGGTCTATACCTAGATTTCCGGGTTATATTCAGGGGGTTGAGACTGGGCTAAAGAAAGAACAAGGAGGTACAGGAATGTGGGAGGGCTGAACAGGGTTATATAGATTTTTTTTTTTTTACTTAAATCAGTTACTATATGAGCAGCAGGCAGCTTTTTTAAACTAAATTTAAAAAGCACACCGTATAACTAAAATAACATAAAAAATATCTAAGGTACCATATAGACACCGAAGTGAAGAAGAAAAAACAAGATTCAGGAATAACATTCTAGGACATTTTCCACATGGGGTGTCGAGGAATCTTTTTATGTGCCACCCATTGAATCGAAGCGTACACCACCATCCCAAATTGTCTGCAGTATTTATGACAATTCTCTCTGAACCGCATAAAAAAGGCACGGAAAGTCTCCATTTTCAGAGCGAAGAGGTTGTTTAAACAGGACCTCTAAGAAGCACTTAAAAGGAAACTGATGACTTCAATTCTGACTATAAAATTTACCACCTGGCTGTCGCCCTAGATATTTGGTTCAAATGATTTCCCCGTTTTACTTTTTGTGGGCTAGAAAACTAAATCTACAATGCTGTTCCACTGTTACCTCAAAGGAAACACACTGAAACCCTAAATCTTCTACCTCGAAACCAGCTCCTATCACAGCTTTCTAGGCCCACACTGGGTCCTGATTCTCCCAACACCCAGACGCCAAGCACTGGGCTCATGTGTACCCCTCCCAGCCTTTGCCAATCATACCCAAGACGTTCGGGTAGCCATTGGTTGGCAAGGGGAGGTCCTTAGAGGTCACAGTGATTGGGAAAGAAGGAGGATCAGATATTAGGGAACTAAGACAGAATATGCCAGAAGAATGACACAGTGGCTAAAATGGCTGGAGGAGAAAATGGAGCTGGTAAGTAGGGACATCCCTGGCCACAGGCTGCTTGCCCCTCCCCAGAGCTGGTACAGTCAGCGTGTTACAGCTCTGAGCATCTTCCTGGGCAGCTGAGGTTAGAGACAGAGAGGCAGGGCAGAGAGGGCACAGCCCTGAAAAAACCAAGGACTGGCTCAGGTTTCCAGCGAGGAGGCGGCCCCTGGTGTGGTCAGGAGGCCTCTTTGCAGTCCTGGTGCTGTGACTTTGGACAAGTTTCTTAACTTCACTGACTATTTGTTTTTCCAGATTTTATATCATTTGTAAGGCTACTTACATCAAGGGGCTGTTGTCAGAATCAAATAAAGTCAAGTTATGTGAATAACCTTCTAGTAAAAAGTTTCACAAATGAAAAGCCTATTTTCTCTCTTTGCACTTATTGAGGAATGTATGATGCATGATTTAAATCACAGCTTGATTTGATAACAGAATAGGTTATTTTCTGAATTTTTTTAAAATTTTATGTAGGGGAGTAAAAACTGCCAATGTAGCATAGCTAAAATGAACCCTGAGCTATAGTATTAAAGGCATTTGCAACTTATTCAAGGAATCTGTTGTGGATAATGTTAAAAACTGTCACACAATTCTCATTGACAGTGACACTTGCTTCTCCCATATAGGAATTACTCACCTTGTAAATGATGGCAAACTTTTAAACGTGGGTGGGCTGTGCCCAGTTTTTACACTATTACACTGGACTATTACACGACCACCACCTCCCCATGTAGCATCTTCTCAGAGAATGCAAACTTCACTGAAATAGCAGCATCATAAACACATAATGAAAATAGAGGGTTCCCAGAAAAACCAAAATGAAATACTGTTAAAGAGGCTGAAGCCAAACAAAAGTATTCCTTTCTTGTCCGTTACTAGGAGTTAAATCTACATTGTTGCTCCTTGTATGGAAAAGTACGTTTCAATTACGATATGTTTAAGAAACCAGTAAAAGTGGAGCTTGGCGAAGTACAGCTGGCGGGTCTGCACTGGCCCACTGCCTGTTTTTCTATGGCCTGCGAGCTGAGGATGGTTTTTACATTATTAAATGGTTGGGGGCGGGGGAGGGGGAATCAAAAGAAGGATATCTCGTGAGACTGGAAAATTATGTAAAATTCAAATTTCAGTGTCCATAAATAAAGTCTTATTGGAACGCAGGCACACTCATCCATTTATGGGTTGCCGATGGCTATTATACTTTTGCATTACGATAACAGGGTTGTACAGTTGTAGTAAGATGATGTGGCCACAGAAATATTTAATATCTGGTGCTTTGTAGAAAAAGTTTGTCAACTCCTGAGTAAGGGGATATATGAGGCCTCATTCTATAAATAGCATCCAACATGCTTATCAATAATGATGTTCATGGGGATGAAAAGAATGTCTCCAATCAGTTTCCACAAGAATATTACACTCATTCATTCATGTGACAAACATTTAGTAAGTGCCTACTATGTGCCAGGTATTGTTCTAGGGCTAGGAAAAATCCTTGAACTTGTGGAGTTTAAATTCTAATAGGAGCAGACAAAAAAGTTAGTAAGTAAAATACATAATTTGTTAGGTGGAGTCAGTGCTCAAAGAAAAAACCAAAACAAAACAAAAAACAGGAAAGGGACATAGGAAGGGATGGATCAGGGGGTGGGGGGCAGTACTTGGTGTTTAAATAGGCAAACAAGAGAAGGCCTTGCTGAGAAGGTAGATTTGAGTCAAGACCGGAAAGAGATGAGAGACACAGCCATGCAGGTATCTAGGGGAAGTGTGTTCAGGACCGAGGGAATGGCAAATGCAAAAGCCCTAAAATACGAAAGAGCCCTGGCATGTTTGAGGAATTGCAAGGAGACCTCGGTGGCTCTACAAAGGGATTTAAAAGCAGAGTAGCAGAAAATAGAAGCGATCTATACGCCTGACGGCGGACCATGGGGGGCCTTCAGGCCACCGTGCGAAGGGTTTAGGGTCTCTCTCTAGTGAGACAATGTTTAGATGTGACAGACGAGTACAGCTGACTTACTCTCCTAGGGCCCATGTAGAGACCACATCTTATTTTAATGTGAAACTAGTCCTATTGTTGGCATAACAATAAAGACTTAATTTCTTATTTAAGATGTTCCAGAGGGCTAGACATCAGCCTGCTTCTTTACCTTAAAAAACGTACAAGTCTTTTAGCCTACATGTGTGACTAAGGCCCATCTCCCCTTGCAAATCCTTCTTCCTTCGCAGCCAAACTTCTACAACTGCAGCCTGGTTTCACGGGTATTTTCCCTGTCTCTTCCATGTGCTTCTTACTTGTCCCTTTGCAATAAAACTTTCCTTCTAATTATTGTCCAGAAACTACGTTCTAAGAGCAACGATTTTCCCCTAGTCAAGTTCAGTGGTCTCGCCCGAGATTTCATCCTAAGGAAAATCTCCCTCCTCTAAGAGGTATTGCTGACCACACCGTCTCTCATTTTAATCTTTTTATGTTTGGTTTCTAGTACTCCCTCTCCCTCTGCCTACCTCAAAGCTCGGTACACATTTAGTCGTGATTGTTTATTCCTCTTCTTCCCCATCGATTACGGCCCCCTTAAAGTTAAGTCTAGGCTGCCCTGTTCTTTCCTCTCATATGTATTTGTTATGGTTGTGGTTCATTTGGTTTCAGAGAACTACCAGCCATGTATCTGGCTCCCAAATACACAGCTCCAGTTCCATATGTTCAGTTTGCTAAACGTCATCTCCTTACCCTAACGTACCCTGCCAATGCTTGAAACCAAACACTTAAAAAGTGGCATCGTTTTCCCATGAGACTTGACTCCATTTTTCTAAGGCATCCATTCATAATCTCAAAAGTCACTGTGGGTTAATCTTTTTAAGTTATATATAATTTATTACCGTTCTGACAACTCTCGTCAACTGAATTCCTACAATACTTATCATTTATGTTCATGGTTTCCTTTTTGATATAAATTCTGATCATCTTAAATGCCTCAGGACAAACATCTTATTGCTGGCTTTTTCCTCACTTCCATCCATCCTTGGAATAATAGAACCTTGGGATTCAAGATATCTTAAGGTAATTTCTACCCAGTGAGATAATTCTTTCTAAAATACCCCTAAAAGATGATTACCAGCCTCTACTTGAATACATGCAGTTAAGCATGGTACCTGAGAAACAGTTAGAATTTAACAAATGCTTGAAATTATTATTGTTCCTGCTATTAAGAATACAGACGCTAGAATCAAAGCCCCTGGATTTCAATCCTAGCTACCCATTTACTCCATGAGTGACCTTGAGCAAGTTACTAAACCTCCTTGTTGTAAAATTAATTTAATAATAATGCCTACCTCATAGAGCTTCTAAATCATTGTAAAGCACTTAGAATGGTACCTAGCACATAGTAAACACCATGCATTTGTTAAGTAAAATAAAATTACAGGCTCACTATTTCAACAAGACAACGGTCTTCAGTGTGGCTGGATCTCACTGTCAGAAAGCTTCTTTCAGATGTCTTAAAATTCTGCCTCCCCTCCTGGGTCTACACCCAAGAGAGCTGAGAACATAAGTCCACAC